GGAAAAGAAATTCAAGCAAAACAAGAAAAAGAGACGCGTGAGGTGAGTAGATGAAAAAAAAATTGCCTAGAAAAAATGCCTATCAAACAAGGCATAAATGAATCTGTAGTTTCACTCATATCATAAATTAGTTATTTGTAAAAAAATAAAAATATAATTTTGATCTGACAATTGTTGTTTATTTCCTCTTGAAATTTAATAGTAACTGCAACTTAATTAGTTTTATTTAATTTAATGTATCTTTAATTGATTAATATTTATTTAATTAATTAGATTACTATTATATAATTAATATTTAGATGGTTAAATGTATGCGTATCGAATCATAAACTTTATGCATAAATTAATAATTTATTAATTTAAAGATTAATTAATTACTTTCGTAACTAATAACTTTTGCGTCGTCCCAACAATATAAATTTATAGAAGGATATTGTAGTTACAAGTGATTTTATTTTGGTAAATAAGTAAACTTTCTATTAGTCAAAATAATAAATGAATGAATAAATAATTTCCAAAGTAATATTTACTTCACTATCAAAATATTAAACTTTTAAGTTATAAGTGATTAAAAGCACAAACAGAGATCCCTGACAAAACTAAATTCTATTGTATATGTGACTAATACTATGTATTTCACATTAAATTTTCTAGGATATGACTTGAGGAACATGGTGCATAGAATATTGACTTGCCAATAAAAAAGATTATAGCAGACGGATTGCTCTTATTTTGGATTCTGTCGCGAATTTGCACACAGGTACTTTGGTTCTGTCGCAGATACTTTCAACGGCCTATTTTAGAAATGAAAGTCAACTAGAGTTCATCTGTTTTGCCTGTGGACTATGTATTCCTATTCAGGGATGGATCTAAGATCGAACTACAAGTCGGGCTATTACGTAGAAAAAACTTAATTTGCACACTAAAAAAAAGGGGAAAAAAAATCATGAATCAAATATTATCTATTATGAAATCAAAAATCAGGCCCCAAGTTTTAGAATT